GCCAACTATACCCTTCAATAGGAACTCGAACAGCTCAAATCCAGAAGATTCTGAAAATGGCCTGGCTCCCTATATGAACCCTGGGAAGACTGGGAAGCGAAGAGGTGGAAACAGCTGGGAGGTCTTGAATTTTTCAGTAAACAAAAGGCCACATTCAAGCAGCAGAAGGACAATGTGCATCCTCTGCTCTCGCTTCGCAGACCTTCATTTTTAAGGTTGCCTGAACAGAGTGTTTTAGGGCAGCAAACCCTGGTCTCAGGCCACCTTGAATTTAGCTTGAAAAACTGTCTGTTTTAACAAAAGCCTTGTCACAGAGACACCTCAGGACCCTTGCTTCGCATATCTTCATTTTTGAGGTGGCCTGAACATATAGTTTCGGGCAGCGAGCCTCTGGTCCCAGGCCACCTCGAATTTTGGTGCATTGTTTGGCTTTTGCTTCATCTGAATGTGGATGGGAATTTTCTATGTGTGAAGTCGGTCGGGGGTCGGGGGGGCTGGCCCGAGAAAGGTATACGTAAACTCTTGGAGAAAGATATACGTAAACTCTGGGGGGTGATGCTTTGATGCTTTTGGAGCAGGTGGTGACGCACTCGCCAACTGTGCCCTTCAATAGGAACTCGAACAGCTCAAATCCAGAAGATGAAAATGGCCTGGCTCTCTATATGAATCCTGGGAAGACTGGGAAGCGAAGAGGTGGAAACAGCTGGGAGGTCTTGAAATTTTTAGTAAACAAAAGGCCACATTCAAGCAGCAGAAGGACAATCTCTGCTCTCGCTTCGCCGACCTTCATTTTTAAGGTGGCCTGAACAGAGTGTTTTAGGGCAGCAAACCCTGGTCTCAGGCCACCTTGAATTTAGCTTGAAAAATTGTGTGTTTTAACAAAAGCCTTGTCACAGAGACACCTCAGGACCCTTGCTTCGCATATCTTCATTTCTGAGGTGGCCTGAACATATAGTTTCGGGCAGCGAGCCTCCACCTTGAATTTTGGTGCATTGTTTGGCTTTTGCTTCATCTGAATGTGGCTGAAATTATCTATGTGTGAAGTCGGTCGGGGGTCGGGGGGGTGGCCCGAGATTGGTATACGTAAACTCTTGGAGGTGATGTTTTAGTGATTTTGGAGCGGGTGGTGATGCAAGAGTGCATTTTTTGCTTTTGCATGGTTACCTAGGTGTGGGCAGAACTAACAAGACATGAAGCAGATTTGACACGCGGCCGCAAGCGGCTGCGCGAGCTCATTTGGTTGCTTCGACGTGCAGTTGTCGAGAAAGGAAAGCGCTGGCTTTCGTTTTGCAGCTTCTCAGGTTTCCAAAAGACTGCCATAAAGACTATATATGTGCCGTATGAGCCCTTGGTCATTTTTGTTGGGACACCAGCAGGTTCCTCGTCCAACATTATTCCCTTTGAAGGAGCTGCCCTTTGCAACCATTTCGTTTTCCTTAAAAGGCCTACTTCCTCGTGCAACTGTCTTATCTCATTAAGATGTTCCGCCAGACAGGGCTTCCAGTTGAGTTTATGAACGAATTTGATGCTTTAGATACAGGAGGGCTTCTTCGACCAGGATTGTTTGCATTTGATGTGCGGAATGTGTTTCGACCAAACCAGAAGGTATCCTGCAGAAGTCAAGGCTATATAATGTTGAATCTTAATTAGCAAAACCCGCCCTCCAAGCAAACAATCGAGGGAGAGTGACTAGAGTCAAGCTCGCCAAAAGTAGTAGTCGTAGTGGTAGTGCTAGTACTAGCCTACTAGTAGTAGAAGTAGTAACTAGCAGTAGTCATAGCAGTGGCAGTTGCAGTGGTAGCAGTAGGTAGTAGTAGTCGTCGTCGGCGACAAGCTGACGGCATTTGCGCACATCTGCCGACCTGAGAGAAACCTAACCAGCCTAGTCTGCTAGAGGAGAAAGTGATTACCGAACATCACACTTGTGAAATTGCACATACACAGATTGAATCCCAATCTGCTTCACGGAGTATCCACAGCCGTCTTCGTTGGCAGCAGAACTGTGGACTCCCTGCTGCCCCCGGGCCCCCTGCAGTTTTAAAACAAAACAAACAATCCAAAAGGGTCCCTGTGATTCCAAGGGGACACACACACTTGGTCCAATAGCGGGGTTGAGATCGATCGACGCGTGATCCATTATTAAGGGTGGGGTCAGTCACTTGTCGAGCCACTAGGTGATCAGCTTGTTGTAAGTATCAGTGCAACTGATTGATTGTTGATTCTTGATTTGAATAAGCACGTTGGCCATGGCGAGAAATATCAGGGAACCCCTGATTCGGACCCAGGGAGAAAATCTGAAGCTCATTCAAAAAAGCCAATGCGCCCACTTAGGACGTGTGCAAAAGTAAGGACATTGAAAGCTGAACCGGGTAAGCTGCATGGTTCAAAGCCTGCAGATCATCCATGGTTGGCAAGTTCGGTACTGTCAGCCAGTCTAGCCTGAGAAAGTTCAGGGGCCGCACTAAAACAAAAAGGAAAGAGAAGGTGGAAGACCCGCTGCCCTGTTCGGAAGAAAGCAGTGCGAGGTAAGGTTCAGGAGTTGAGCCTTGAACGGGAACAACTACGAAATTACCCCGTGGATGTTCTGAGCTACAGGCAAAAGACAATGTCGTCACTTTTTTGAGGTATTGCTACCCTGTCTTGCAGGGAACGCTCTGCGGAAAGGTGTCTCTTTTTCCCAAACACAAGCGAACTCTGTTGGTTGGACAGGGACCTACTTTTAGGTTGTAGGCTGGGGCTCTCATCGAAAGGCGTTTTAACGCTGTAGTGGCAAGTCATAAGGGATTAATAATGCCTGCTGAAGCAATGAGTTTCTTATTCTGTAGTGGGTCCTGCAAGCAGTTCACAACGATTTTCCACACACACTCATGGATATGCGTACTGACTTGATAGCGGTGCCACACGCCAGCCTAGGGTTCCAATTCCTAAGGGTACAGGTAGGGAGACCTAGAAAGGAAGAGGAGGTCCATCCAGCGGAGGTCCCAAAGGTTTCAGGTGGCCAGCAACTCCAAAAGAAAACACCGAGCGAGCGGACGACAAGGTGACGACGTTCGTGCAGAAGAGCAAGCTCACAATCTGAGGTGAATCACCGCTGCATTAGACGCTTACTGCACAACAAAGAATGAGACAGCTTGGCATTTACGTAGGTTCAATTCAAAGCAGGTACGTCGATTTGGCGTCCCAAATCGATA